AATAATAATAATACAGTGTGTGATCTCCTGTCCCAGCCTGAGGAACAGACAGTGAGTCTCTCAATTAATATTAAAATGTTATTTGCTAATTGTTATTGCTGAGGTCTCTCTATAACTTATTGATCGTGCCAATGAATATCTTTGAATTGGAAATTTGAATTTCTGTTAGGGAGGAAGGAGTGGAGGAAGAGGGAGAGAGGTGAAGAAAGGGCAGGAAAAGAGCAAGAGAGAGCAAAAATGATCGATTTAGAAGGAAAGAGGGGGAGAGTGGGTGGAAAAGCCTCTTACCTTCAACAGCTTGGCGTGGAGTAGAAGAGTGAAGGCAGCCTCTGTGTAGTTCTCATAGCGTAGATGAAGATCTCTCAGCTTGTGGAGGTATCTGAGAGACAGAGAGAGAGAGATTTATTTGAGTTAGAAGTATTGACAATGTGAGATAAAGTACCATTTAAGTCAAAACTGAAGACAGAACTAGATACAGTACCCTGACTGGTTCAGACCCATGAACAGTTCCAGGTGCAGAACCCAGACACGGTCAGATCCATGAACACTGACAACACTGACACCCAGATACATGGACAGTCAATACCAGCACATGGCACTCTCTAATAGGATAGAGATAGTCTGGTCAAAACCAGAATACCCAGAATACCCAGGTGAATAAGCTCCAGTACCTTGACCTTCTAACACCATTAAATAAAATAACATACATTTAGTTGAATTAAGTTGTAGTCACACAGGAAATTTTCTTCTGTTCTCTTGTCTTGTTATCAAACAGTGGTTAAAGCTTAACAACATGTCAAAAACAATCCAACCAATAAAATCCATTGTTTAGGGTCATTTGTATTTTCCTAATAGACTAACGCATTTATGTTTATACTATTTGTATTTATACTACAGTATATGCACCATTATGCACAGTTTTTGAAAACAGGGGTATTTTATTAAGTGCAGGTGCTTTTTGCTCATTGCCTTTTTATATCCTTTTTTGGAATTGTCATCCATACACTTTATGTCCTCATTACAAAGATACAATATGTACAGTACACAAAGTACATACATACTAAATGAAGTATACCCCTAGTTCCATATACAGTGTGAATTAAAATGGAAATAAGCATAAAACACTGTATTATATACAGTACTGTAAGCAACAGTATGTACAATATGTATGCTGTACAAAATAAGTCTATGACCGACATTGAACACAATATAACGTGTATACTACTGTACATAACGACTTCAATCAGCTTAATTTGTTTTCCTCTCTCTGTTTTTTTTCCAGTGATAAAAAGTCCACGGCTTCTCACTCTCTAAAATCTAATGCATACAGAATTACCTGCCTGCTCAGTGAGCTCATGCATTGCTGACAGTGATTGAAGCAGAATGACAGGGAGTCAGGTGCCCTCTTCCATCAGGCTGCACGGTTCCTTGACCTGACAGGTGACTAAGAAATACTGGACTCAGAAGCTCAGGCCTCAGCCTCAGAGACTCCCTGACCAGTGTCTGCTGTTGCACTGTCCGTCCTCAAGCCCACAGAAGCGTGCCTGACAGTGTCACCAGCCTCCAGACCACAAGCTCTTGCTCTAGAGATGGAGCAGCTGTTGCTGTGATGTCTGATTAATCGGCTTTGAATGCCAGTCTTTCCCCGGGGCCTCTGTGTTAATTTGATTATTGTCGGTGAACATTTGTTTCTGTTGCACTTGTAATAGTAGAAGTAGCCTGGAGCCTTAGAGGCAAAGCTATTGTCTGTGTTTTAACTCGGGGCCCAACACCGCTACACTCCCTCTATCCGAGACATTAATCAGGAAACCCTGCCAAATGCACTCCGTTACAATGAGCTACTCCAGCCTGGGAGTCTGGGAAAGTATCTCTCCACATGCATCTCTATACAGCTTGGCTGGGCTGTATAAACAACAGGGCTGTGAATGCTTCTTTACAACAGGCACTTCACCAGAGGCAAAAGTAGCACACTCATGCATTGAAGGCGTTTGCGGATAAGAATATCAATACTTATTTCTAATGTAGCACTTTTCAGTAAGAAAGGATCAGATTGTATTGTGGTGTCCAGTGAATGTTCATCTGCAGAGCACCATGAGGTTGATAATAGGCTGTTACATGTATACTGAACTACTGGTACTATTTACTGTAGGATGTCTGCATCTGTAAACTCTTTGTGATTTAATGCATTTAATAATCCAACCTCTAAGATGTTTAGTACTGTCAGGGAGTGAAGGTACTTGATTTCTGATTTAGGCGAAGTGGTGGGTTAGAGTTAGAGACACAGTGGGAGTCATGCTATTCTCACCACTAAACCATGCGGCTTACCACAACACTATTAGAGAAGACAAGAGTTCTACCTTTAAATTATAGATCCCTCATTTGTGAATAAGAGCCAACACTGAATAAATCATCTAATTAGGAAAACAGGACAGTGTTTACTCTGTTATAAGATCACTTTATTGGCCATCTACAATTTCTTGAACTAGGAATTTGTCTTTTCACATACCCCAGCTTGCTCTCCATGAGACACAAAGACAGGGAGAGAGTGGTAGTCAGAGTGCAGGGTCAGCAATTTATACCACACCCCTGGAGCAGCTGGGGTTAAGGGCCCTGCTCAGGGGCCCAACAGGGTAGGATTCCTCTGCCAACCATGGGATACGAACCGGCAACCTTCCAACTGCAGGTGCAGATGGTGAGCCACAGAGCCACTGCACCGCCACAGTGTATATTTTGCTTACCTGATATACATCTCCTGTCGGTCTATCTCCTTGTAGAAGTTCTGTTGAGAGGCAGACATGATACAGCTAAGTTCTTAGATTGTCTTGACACAACTTACATCAATTTAAAGCACAGAAACACATATTAAGTCTGGGTCACACTACATGGTTTATCTAAAGTTGACATTTTTGAAGACTCCTGATGAATAAATACCTGCCTGATGGGTCAGTGTGATGGAGCTACTGTATATTGCAGCTTGCAAATACACTTGAGGCAAACTGGTTTATTTTAAAACAAATTAAAGTTGCAGATTATTTGCATTGTCCGTTGCAACATCAGACCAGGAAAAGAAAAGAAAAAAGAACTTGTTAATAGTTTAGAGGCCTTTAAGAGCCCTGTAGTAACAAGGGGAGAAGTTTCTAAGATAAAAGGCAGAATCCCAGGCCAGTGAGAATGTTCTGTCACAGAGCTCAGAGATGGTCTCACTGTACTTTTCCTGGGAACCCAAGCTACTACTAAGTTTTGAAGACTTTACTGTATCTACCATTTTTAAATCCTTAAGAAGAAGTTTTGTAGAGTCTAACATCTGGCTTCGATAATTAAACTTCTCCTGGTTTTCATGGAAGATCGAGCACCTGTGGGATTATTTACACCTCTTCTCAAATGGTGCCTAGTGTTGGTCAGCCTAGCAGGTGAAAGTCATGAGCTAAAGAAGGAAACACAGTGCAGCACAGAGCACATGAAGAAATGAAGACTTAAGGACAGAGAGGAATATCTTAGGCAGAAGAGAGCACGTGAGACAGAAAGAAAGACAGGACACAGGACACTCTTCTCAAGGACAGGTCTGTGAAAGAGATGGTGAGGGAGAGACTGAAACAAGCAGAAGCTCAGTTGGTCAGAGGGGCGTGTCCTCAGAGGGTAAAACAGATATGCAGGCAGGACAACAGACCTGCAATAAGACACCCAGAGCTGGAAAGAGGGAGAAGTGAACAGATAGTACCAGCAGGTTGACGGTGCAGCGCATTCGGTAGGCCTCATTATCATCGTACATCACGGCTCTGTAGTCCAAGAGGCGCTCCATCAGTCCGGTTACCAAGGTAACGAACTGCTGACAATGCCCTGCCAGGAAGGGGTGCTGCGTGTTGCACTCCAGCAGGCTGGGAGATGGGAGACAAGGAGAAGGGCGGAAGAAGAGGGGGGGGGCAAGGAGGGATGAGAAACATAAACAAGACAAGTCACTACAGTGTATGAGAATAAATCACTCAATCCCACTGGCAACAATGCTCAGTTGACATGACATGATAAAATGCCAGCGATAATGTGTTGTGGTCAGGGATTGGAATCTGTGGTGTGTTTAATGATCTTGTGGCCAGTTGACTCCTGCGAGCTGTGCTCTATGATCCAGCTGCAGTGCTGAGGTGTGAGCACACACAGTGACCCCCCCATCCCCTCCATCCACGGGGGTGGACAGCACGGCTGGGTGACAAGTTGTTCTCTCGCTGACAGTCAAATATCCGCCAGGGTCTCCTGGAGTCTTCAGGGCACTCACGTTTTCTGGAAGAGCAGTTTGTACTGCTGGTCGCCACGGCCTCCCTCCACCTCACTGTCCAACTTCTTAATGATCTCATCTTCGAACTGCAGGGGACAGAGCACACCACACAGCCGGGATGCATCTAGTCTCTCTGCTAGTTTTCATGTATTCACGACTAAATGGACATCAGCATATCAGAAGTGGCTCATATTTCAAAGTCTAAGGCTACAATTTTTAGCTAATTTCAAGAGAAGTATCAAAACATGATACTTTAAACAAGAGAAGTGTTTAAACTGGTATTTTCGCAAAAGGTTAATGTCTACATAGCTCATGAATAAAGAGAGCAGTGAAGTGTGTTACTGGAGATATACTGTACAGTATACAGATTTATTTCCCCATTACAATCATGCGTGCTGCAAAGACTGGATCATCTCAGGGGACCTGTAGAACCACAATTCTCTGGCTGCACTGCCTGTTACCTCTGTTCCTGGGCCGAGCACACATGTACACCCAGCATGCGGTATACTCCAGTGCCCCTTAGCTCTACACACTGGAGAGTTCCCAATCTCCAGTCACATAGTATTGTAAAACATTGTATTGTTCCCCGATTCTAGTCCACACTGCTGTCATCCCTCATCACTACCACACTACAGTGAACCCCAACTCCTGTCCATACCACATTGCTCCCCAAATCTAGACACGGTTTTAATCAAATATTCCAATTCAATTACAGGGAACAGATTAGCCTGTAAGATCATTCATTGAAATACACACGATCTAATGGTTCCCATCCAATGACTGGATCTGTTCATTGTGTACTATAATAATAATAATAATAATAATAATAATAATAATAATAATAATAATAAGTGGCTCTCACAGTGTTGAAGTTGCCCCTGATGTTGTATTCACACAACATCATGTCGTAGAAGAGTGGGAGGGTGAGTCTCTGCAGCTCAGGCTCTGGCACCAGTGTCACTTCCAGCAGGGGGCCCACCAGGTCCGGGATAAACGCCATCTTGTGCTGCCCTGTAAGAACACACAGGCGCACAGTGTGGACATACTGGGACAGCGCTGGAGTACAGGATTGCGTGGACATACTGGGACAGCGCTGGAGTACAGGATTGCGTGGACATACTGGGACAGTGCTGGAGTACAGGATTGTGTGGACATACTGGCACAGTGCTGGAGTACAGGATAAAGATCAGATAAGATAAAATCACTTTATTGGCCATATACAATTTCTTGCAGCGCTGTCCCAGTATGTCTTGTGTGGACATACTGGGACAGCGCTGGAGTACAGGATTGCGTGGACATACTGGGACAGTGCTGGAGTACAGGATTGTGTGGACATACTGGCACAGTGCTGGAGTACAGGATAAAGATCAGATAAGATAAAATCACTTTATTGGCCATATACAATTTCTTGCATTAGGAATTTGTCTTTTTCACATATCCCCAGCTTGCTCTCCATGAGACACAGACAGGGAGAGAATCTTGGGGTCAGAGCACAGCGTTAGCCATTTATACAGTGCTCCTGGGGTTAAGGGCCTTGCTCAGGGGCCCAATTGAGTAGGATCCTCTGCCGGCCATGGGATATGAACCAGCAACCTTCCAGCCACAGCTGCAGGGCTGATGTGTGGTCAGTGCAGACAGTACTGGGCGCAGGGCTGGTGTGTGGTCAGTGCAGATAGTACTGAGGCGCAGGGCTAGTGTGTGGTCAGTGCAGACAGTACTGAGGCGCAGGGATGGTGTGTGGTCAGTGCAGACAGTACTGGGGCGTGGTCAGCTTGCTCAGTGTCAGAAGTCTCTGTGCCTCAATTGTCTTACCAAGCCGATTCCACATATCCCTGATAGTGGCTCCAAGGACTCCACGCATATCCCCATACCTGCAGAGAGAGGTGGGAGGGAAAGGAATTACCAGAGAGAAAGAGAAGAAAGGGATACAAGATCAGAAGAATAATTAACAAAGATCCAACCCAGTGTGAGTTGGTTTCTCTGTTCTTTCTGAAAAATTGCTGGGTTGACTGTGTTAGTGCCTTCAGTTCAGGCCTCCCTGTTGTCTACAGTATATTTCTATTGTTTTGTACTGTAGGGAACAATGTGAGTCTGTTGGTACAGATCACAGACTGTGAAGAAATCCCAGCAGCTCTTACTTAGTGAGTTCCTTTGGTTTTCAAAAGCAAATCCTATCAAACGTGTATTACTCTTTTATAGAAATTACTTAACTTTTTCCTTTATCTGTTTGTTCACATCACTCTATTAAAAAAATACCTTCAAAATGTTGTGAGCAGCAGCTCTAAAATCAATGGCGAGCCCTTAAGCCCGCTGGCACAGCTGTATGTCCAGCAGATCCTGAGGAAGGCCTGTGCCATCACTGAGGACTCATTTCTATCCTTCATCAGTCTTTTAAACTTTTGAAGGAGGACATCTTCACAGCACAAGACAAATAAAAGAATATTTACTTTGTTCCAGAGGCCATTGTGTATTTCAACAATGTATCACTATGATCTCTATTGGAAAAAGGCCCCTCTACAAATATACATGTACTGTAGTACTGTCTTAAATATCTAAGAACTGAGTCCCCACAATGTACAATGTTACAGTACTTTCATAATCATTTTGGAATGGAATTGAATTGAACGTGGAGTTTTATGTTAGGTTAAGTCATGTAATTGCAGGAGGTAGAAGGTGGAAGAGAAGATAATTGGTGTGTGTTTATTGTTATCAGTAAATATGTGGACATTACTGCAGGAAAGGTGAAAGAGTTCTGACCTGCAGAGGATGGCTGCTCTCTTGGTGGGGGAGAAAGTCTCCAGCTGCAGGCTCCTCTGGGTCAGGAATGCCACAGACAGGTGAAAGAAATTATTCCAGAGCTGCAGGCAGAGGGAGAGCAGAGAGGAGCCACAGTGAGTGTGAAAATAGAGACATCTTGACATTAATTCCCCATCTATGAATTGGCTTCATTACTCTGCTCTCCTCCCCACTGATAGCTTTGTGTGTGGTGAGCGTTCTGGCACACTATGGCTGCCGTTGCATCACCCAGGTGGATGCTGCACATTAGTGGTGGTGGAGGGGAGTCCCAATTACCTGTAAAGCGCTTTGAGTGGAGTGTCCAGAAAAGCGCTATATAAGTGTAAGCAATTATTAATTATTATTATTAATACCACAGCATAAAAGAAACAAACACAAGACCAAATGAGAGGCCATTTGTTAGTTGATTGACCCAGTATCTTGTTCAGTTGTGTCCTGAAACATCCTACTATGTGAACTTAAACAATATCTTAGAAAAAGGCTCCATGGCCGAAATGTTGTGTTTTCTTTCTTTCTTTTTTAGCATAGAATAAACCTATTACTTGTTCCTTAATATCCTAGGTGGTTATTCCAGAATCCCACAACATCTTTTGTAAAGTTGTGGATCCTGACATCAGTTTTAAAAGAATGTTCCCTGATTTTGGATAATATCCTGTGGTTTATGATCAATACCTGTCTCGATTTTGGATACTTGAATCAAGATCCCTTGTAGTTTGTCTTCTCTCACACCTCAGAGCCAGAGCAGAAGAAAGATGTCACACCCCTCTCACATGCAGTGTGAGAACAAACCTCTAAACTCATACAATATACAGTAAGCCTCAGGTTTGCAATGCTGGGCTGAACACTGAAGCAGGTTTCAGACAGAAGGGGTATTTATTCCCAGGACTCTGCCGCAGCTTTTTTATTACCTGTATTTAAGGGAAAGCAAAAGCTGACTTTAAATAAGGAAACAATGCTTTTCCATATACTGTAAGAATAAATGTGAAATAAAAATATCAGAATAAAAAATAAGAACTTGACTTTTATCATATAATGATATATTTTGATGGGAAAAAATGCAGTCAGATGCATGGCCAGCTTCATCCAGCCCCAGATATCATAGACATGCTTAATTAAACAAACAGATAACAATGCACAGGAACATGCGCTGTATGTCGAAGACCTTCAGGATTGCAGCAACGACAAGTGCAAACTAACAATTCTTCTGCTTCACTGGCACCTGGCTGAGGGGGGCATTACACAGGGAAAGCCATTGAGAACATTGAGAAGTCCGACAAACTTCCACCAACTGCAGTTGATCATACAGTATGTGTATTTATACAGTAGATATATTTATTCTATATTCTATACAATTCCACACTGCTGCTCTCAGGGTCCCCCCCAATCCAGGAAATTCATCTTTAACACTTCCACATGTTAGAGAGCAGCATCAAGTCACCAGGCAACAGCATTATTACCAACATGAAGCTGACTTAGTTATTGATTATTAATGCTTTATTTGTTTATCTTACTTGTTAATTAATCATTACAGTTGTAATTATTCATATCTAGTGGGGGAGCTAGTTTCCCAGGTTTGTATCAAGTCCTTGACCAGAAGAAAAAGTGAAAGAACAAGCACTTTCTTACTGTTAGACGTGAAACTGTTGTCTTACAAAGATTTATTATATCTGAAATATAGTACATGGAAAGGTTTATTCAATGCTGAAAAGAAAAGAAAACAGACACAACATTTTGGCTGTAGAGCCTTTCTTCTTCTTACCCCCCATCAACTTCACAAAGCCAGTCCTGTAACCCTGTCTGTAGATGGCTCTGTACTTGAGCTCCAATCAAAATTGAAAAACCTTGGGGTTATATTCGATTCTGGCTTAACATTCGACCCACATGTACAGCATACTGTCAAAACATCTTTCTTTCACCTTAGAAATATCGCAAGACTACGCCCTATGCTATCATTAACTGTGGCTGAAAAGCTGATCAACATATTTGTATTCTCTCGAATTGACTACTGCAATGCTCTGCTCCCTGGGGTATCTAAATCTACTCTGAACAAGCTGCAATATGTCCAAAATTCAGCAGCCAGAATCCTGACCAGATCTAGTGCAAGTGTTCACATTACTCCTATCCTGGAGTCCTTGCACTGGCTTCCGGTCAAATTCCGCGTAGACTTTAAAATCCTCATGCTCACCTACAAGGCTTTACATGGCTTGGCACCTCAATACCTGTCTGAACTTTTATCGCCCTACTCCCCACCTCGCAACCTCCACTCTTCAAATTCTGCCCTCCTTACTGTCCCCCAAGCCCGTCTACATTGTATGGGCGACAGGGCCTTCTCCTGCTATGCCCCCAAGCTCTGGAACTCCTTGCCCAAGGATATTAGAGAGTCACCTTCTCTAAACTCCTTCAAATCCAGACTCAAAACCCTCCTTTTCAGAAAAGCCTTTACTTAACTGCTTCCATTCTTCACCCCTCTGCTCTTCTTAATACCATCTTCCACGGTCTCCTCTATTGTTATTGTTGTATTGTTGTAATTATAATTGTGTCCTGTCTTGTGAAATTTTCTTATTTATTGTTGTAGTCTTCTTATTTATTGTTATTGTCATCCTGTAAAGCGCTTTGAGAAGCCACCTTTAAAGGCGCTATATAAAATAAAGTTTATTATTATTATTATTATTATTATTATTATTATTATTACATTATAAAAACAATAGAAGAACAAAAAACTCAAATATGTTAGTCTTGAACATAAAATACTACAAGCAAGCTTGATTCAGTATTCAGAATCCTCTAAGACACTGACAGGCAACCCAGCCATTCTTCAGAAAGAACAGTGAAAAATGAACCACCTCACACTGGGCTGGATCTTTGTAATCATCCTTCTGATCTCGTATCCCTTTATCCTATTTCTGTCTCTTAATTCCTTTTCCTCCTGCCTTCTTCAGGTGTGAAGGCTCCACAGCTGAAACGTTGTGTCTCTTTTCCATGGAATAACCTTCACCTGCTCCATTGCAGCCTATGCATGCTGATGCAGCTCCCTACTTGAAAATCTGAAATACTGTATGTTCTACATGCCAGATGTGTATTCTTTGGGTTAATTATTTAGATTAAATGGAGGTTAATTGCATAAGGGTTCATTATACAGCAGGCATACATGATCAATAGCAGTCTGGCTGTTGTTGAATCCCTTGGCCTGGCCTGCCACTGCTCACTTTCCACTAGCATGCCAGGATTAACTGTTATTTGCTTTTTATCTTAAGCTCTGTGCACAGGTAACATCTTGGTTCTCCTCTGGTGTGTGTTGGAAATACAGTACTTGATTAACCACTGGGCCTATGTCCATCCTTTCCCTGCTACTGACCGCTCAACAACATGAGGTGACCCAGTGGGTTCCACAGGTGTCCTCTGAGGGAATATCTCTAGGAATGCGAGTCCTACTGTATCACACGATTGTCATTTTGTCAACAGTGTCTGTTACCGGACTAATTCTCATAGACACAGGTGAGCCAAGCCCTGCTGAAGAGCTGCCTCAATCTGAGATGGGGGCCTCAAGGTTTCACCTACTAATCTGCTTGTCGCCCTGAGACAGACGACACAGTTAAACTGTAGATACAGCCCGTGGTTCAGAGCACAGACTAGGCAATGATGAGCTACTGTACTTCTTAGTTATTAATTTTCCTTAAGTGAGTAGCACTGAAGAAAATACAGTCTGCTTGCGTCAGTGTACTCTAAAGGGCTGTTCCTCCACAGGCTGTTAGTTCATCACGTGTCCTGCTTTGGGTGTACGTCACTCAGAGAGAGCGTGTCAGTGCAAGCTCGTTATGTGAACGGCCATCTCTGCTGTAAGCTGCCCTATGACAATGAGCTTCCAAAATGCAGATTTCTGAAGCAGCTTGTTTGCTTTGTTTTGCACTGGATTTCTCCTTTAATTTGTTCATTTTTTCTCAGAGGGTTCAGCCAAAAGGGGGCAGTGTTGCACATTAATGTTGCTGCAGGAAACCTTGTCTCAGCTGTCAGAAGCCAGCTGTCAGTTCTTCACAGGACAAGTTTGGTTTGTGCTCCAGTATTCAGTCTCAGTCCCCACGCTCTAATGCCATGTGAACACCTGGCAAGTAACTAGCAGAAGCAGGAAGAGCTGTTTGCACGTCAGGGCTCTGACATTGACCGCAGGAGTTAATAGTTGTGGCAAAAGTCTAATCAAGGCACATCACACCCATTAAGGAAATGACAAGCCCTATAGCAAAGATGCTGTATGTAACTTTAATACTCTACAAACATTGTCAGTTGTCTTACACAGTAAAAAATCATTCACAACTTGACAGTTGCAGAAATTAGTTAATATGAGTATTGCAAAGCAAGGACCTGTGTCACTATCCCGCCATCTGGAGCTGTGTGCTTAGGGTATACAAAGCACTGGAGAACTGAAGAAGACATGCTGGATAAGCCACATAGAAATACTGAAGCAGCAGGAAACTCTACACATGTGTTGTCTATTTTACAATGAAATTCGCAAACCTCCTGCACACCATCGCAGTGCTCGCTAAAAGGGACTCTGCTGCCCAGCATTTCAATAAGGTTGAGCAAATGAAATGCAAATGTGATTTTGTCTGAATTCATATCCTGGCAGAGAGGATTCTGTGCATGTCGTGGTCAGTGCTGCCAGCTAGGTAATAAATTACTGATACATAAGCAGATTATGTTATTAAAATTGTTCCTGAAAGACGATACTGATTGAAGGGAAACTTTAGTTTCAAGGGGATTCTCTTTTCCACTTTGCACCTTTGGACTTCTGAAGACTGTTGTCGGTTTTGGTTTCTCTATTATGTGAAGTGCTTAGGGGGCGATTCATGCACTATGCATTGTTATGAAAAAAAAACATAAGAACATAAGAAACATAACATAAGCCTGAGAACAGGCTACCTTTATCTCTAATCAGGATCTGAACAGAAAATGACAACCTGGCAAGTTAAAAAATTTGGAAAAGGGCAAAAAAAGCTGCAACTGTCAAACAGAAACAGATTCACAAACCTGCCCTCTAGCAGCCAAACAAGCTAGCTCCTCTTGTTGG